GCACCACCAATGAACAAAACCGTTTTTAACGGAAGGATTCGGCGCTACACTGAAAACAAGGAAGCTTTGGAAGAATATTCCAAATGCTGTTTTCAGATCGTCGCCAACGGGAATGGAACTTGGACCGACAGAAAAAAACAAGCAACAACATCGGCCATCTGTAATCGGTATTTATTTAGATAACGAAAATGAATTATTTACGGAAAATATCTACGATTCACTCATTTTGGTGTTGTATAACAGCCTCCATAATTTCACCATTTTATTTTTCACAAGCACGAACGCTTTTAAAGTTGATCGAAAATAACAATATGGTGGATTTGACGTTTACCTAGACCATTACCGAACTCAGAAATGGAACGCTTTGTTTACCGAAACTTCAGTAAAATATTTCACCGAAGTCAGTGATGAAGCTGATTTACAGACCTGCCGGTAAAAATGTTTACCGTTTTCGGTAAATTAAAATTAAATTACCGAAATTCGGTCATTTCATTTACAGTTTTCAGCAATAAAGCGAGAAAATACCGAAACATCTGTAATTTTTAGCATTACCGATCTAAGACGGCAATTTTTTTTACCGAACTCAGGGTCTCTGTTTAAGTGTGTACCCACACAATCATAACCCATGCTTGTAAACTAAAATTTAACGTGTTTCAAGTACTTCTGGCTTTGACCTATATTTATTTCACACTGGAACCTCCATTTACGAACCAAAACGGGGGTTCGTAAATCGAATTAGTGCGTAAAAAAAACCTCGTTTTTTGGGATTTACTTCTTAAAAAGAAAACTCGTTATTTGGGATTTACTTCGTAAAAAGAGGTTTTTGAAAATATTGTCAAATGCCCCACAAAATGGGTATTTTTGGAATCAGGGTGACGTGTAGGGAGTGGAAATCGATGTCTGACGCCATTTTGAAATCCAAGATGGCGGCTTCCGGTTACAGAAAAACTTGAAAATTCTGCCAAATACCCCACAGTATTGGTATTGGGGGTATTTGGCAGAATTTCCAAGTTTTTATGTAACCCGAAGTTGCCATCTTGGATTTAAAAATGGCGTCAGACATTGATTTTCGGTTCCTAAACCTCACTCCGATTCCAAAAATACTCATATTGTGGGGTATTTGGCAGAATGAGCAAGTTTTTCTGTAACTGGAAGCCGCCATCTTGGATTTCAAAACGGCGACAGACATCGATTTCTGGTCCTTAAACGTCACTCCGATTCCAAAAATACCCATATTGTGGGGGTATTTGGCAGAATTTCCAAGTTTGTCTGTAACCGGAAGTCGCCATCTTGGATTTCAAAATAGCGTCAGACATTGATTTCCGGTCCCTACACGTCACTCCGATTCCAAAAATACCCATATTGTGGGGTATTTGGCAGAATGACTAAGTTTTTCTGTAACTGAAAGCCGCCATCTTGGATTTCAAAATGGCGACAGACATCGATTTCTGGTCCCTAAACGTCACTCCGATTCCAAAAATACCCATATTGTGGGGTATATGACAAAATTTCCAGGTTTTTATGTAACTTGAAGCCACCATCTTGGATTTCAAAACGGCGTCAGACATAGATTTTCGGTCCCTACACGTCACTCCGATTTCAAAAATACCCGTATTGTGGGGTATTTCACAGTAGGGGAATTTACGTATTCTCGGCAACCTAAGCAGCGACCTTCGTTCTATAGCCTTTTTCTCTATGGAACGCACACATATGCAGTATTGGTTTGTTTAAAATCTTTTGCTGCCAGCTGCTCTAACAATTTCAGTCGAAAGAATTGTCAAAAACTGTTTTGAAACGCTTTTACAAAGCTCCAATCTTCTCTAGTGAGAGCGAGTATTGTCGGCAATCAGTTTTTCTTCGGCAACCGTTCCATTTGAACTGCATGTAAATCTGCTGTTCTATTATCGGCAACTCGAAATCAGCTACAATTTGTAGTGCGTGTGTTTCATTTCAAGAAAACCCTGCTAGATTGCTTTTTCTCAGTGGTAAAAATATAGCCAAATTGAAGCTGAAAGCATAAAGAATCGTTTGCATGCATTCAGCGAAGTGTTTTCGTAAGAAAATCCAGTGAAAATAGTGTTTCAATTTGGGTTGCCGAAAATAGTCTATCATGCCGAAGCCGTCATTTCCCCTATATCCCAGTTCACAAATCACAAAAAATAAGCTCGTTATTTAGAATTCACTTCGTAAAAAGAAAACTCGTTATTTAGGATTTACTTCGTAAAAAAAACTTCGTTATTTGGGATTTAATTCGTAAAAAGAGGGACGTAAATAGAATACTGCGTAAAAAAAGACTTCGTAAACGTAAGGTTTCAGTGTATCTTTATTCGTCCCAGGTGACACCTTCAAGTGACTAAAATGCTTGACTTTGAAGTTAGTTTCCTAGCTGATTTTAAATTGAATATTGTATAGCGCTCTCACGTTTCCACTATGTCGCACCACAAAAATACATATGGGTATATCACAATAGAAACACACCACAGTGGAAATCCCGAGTCAAAGTTCAAACACTTATCCCAAATCAAAATTAGTTACAATTACAATAGTTACATTAGTTACAATACCATGTACAAAAATGGTGTTTAACATTGTTCCCTGAGTAATACCTCAATGAAAACAACAATGAAAGCTTGTCACGCAAATAGAAGGAGCACTGTTGGGCACATTCTGAAATATTTCAATACTATAATTCCCTTGCAAACCCAAATTTATCTGCAAATAAAATAAGAGTGATTTGCGGCAAAACCCGCCAGTATCGCACCCAACGTCAGTGCCTATACGTAAGCGTACTACGACGCGGCTCTCAATCAAAGGAGTAACAAGTGTGATACTATCACTGCTAGACTAGATCTTTGGTTCTCTCATGCAGTGGTTTATCAGAGAGGGGAAGCTTAGTTATCCCCATTGCCTGCCCATGGCGCCATTCTATCGCGGCATGAGCCAGCAACGCCGGCCGTAAACCCACCGTCTCCAACACTCAACTAAAAAGCATGAAATTAAGCCCGCCCACCAGCAACAAGGTGCAAAAACTAGCCAAGGGGAGGGCTTCTACGAACTTCCTCAAACTTAAATAAATATTCCACTTCTACGCAGTTTTATAACTTTTCCATGTTCCTTGTTTCTACCATTTGTAAATGAAGATCTAAGAAGTTCCCAGAATTTAATCTAAGTTTTCTCAATTTCTACGATGTTCCCTGAACATCTTAGAAATCTTTGAAGTTTTACGAAGTTCCCATAAGTTAAAAAAAAATTTCTGGTCTCATGGCCAATTTGTAGAGCCTGAAGACCTCTTATTATGCTATTGATTAAATAACGATACAATATAATTTCTCAAAATTGCTTCTTCTCGTCTAGAACGTATGAAAAGTAGTCAACATAAAGGACTTTGAAAAAAATCGTTGTTTGTTATCCAACTTTATTCATCACTGACAAGCTTGACAAAATACCAGTGAGTCAAAAAAAGAAGACTATAATCTCTGGAGGGCCTAGAGAATTATGGCAGCCTAATTAACAACGCCAATGCCTGGACGTTGCCCTCACAAACATTGCATTTATTTTAAATAGGTTAGCTAACAGGTTGACGTACAAGTCTAAGAGCAGATTGGATTGTGCGAAAGCTTTTGCTCGGTTGAAAGGTGATCCGACCGGAAACCCATTTTTGTGGAAACACATTTCGCGGAAACCCATTTCGCAGAAACCTATTTCGCAGAAACAAATTTCACGGAAGTACATTTCACGGAATCCCAATTTCGCGCCAATTTCGTAGAGTGCTCCATTTCGCACAAAATCCTGAATTAAATTTTAATATCGTACTTACTTTTTCGTCAGCTGACAATTTTCCAAAATTTCAGAATGTACATGCAGGATACCTCAGAAGAACTGGCCATGTTTAAAAAAAGGAAAACACTCCTAGGATTATGCATTGAATTCAGATTTCGCATTTATCATTCTAAGCCAGAAACTCACAAGTTTACCAAAGTTTAGAATTACAGGAAAGTTAAAAAGAGCTACTCATGATTAAAAGAAGTAAAATTCCCCTAAAATTTTATTAATTAAAACATTCCGCCAAATGGGATTCTGCGAAAAAGGTTATTTCGCCAAATGGAACTCCGCGAAATTTACTTACACCGAATGGGTCTTTCCGCGAAATAGATTTCCGTGCAATTGGTTATTCTGCGAAATGTACTGCCGCAAAATGGGTTTCCACGAAATGGGCTTCCACGAAATGTCGTATAACCCCGACAACCATTCGAAGAACCAAGTTTACAACCAGATTGCAGTGTGCAAGTGGCACATCAAGCGATTTTCGATCAAAAAGTGGTTGCCAGCATTTATTTTCGATCTCGCCATCAAATAAAAAAACTCTACTTCGTTTCGCAAACTCCAAGCAATTTTTGCGCCCCTCGGAAAGTTTTTTACCGCAAATAAGCCACCATTGCCACCTGCTGAGTACGGTGCTGAAAAATTTATGGCATACAATTTCTGCTAACTAGTTAGTTGCCAACACCCCCCAAAGCTACCTAGTTCCAATTTGTCGGATTCCGAAAAAAAGTGTTATTCATTTGAATAATTTGTCCCTCCGGCGTACCGTCACCGTGCTAGTAGCAGTGGCAATAGTAAACTTTAACACCTTCTCTGGTGCCCTGATGACGACGACGACGACGGTAGAAACGGTTGTTGGGAAAAAGCTCACGTGCAACCTGAAATGGTACAATGATTGTCGCTCTGGGCAACTTTTATTGTCCTCTGTTCATCGACCATCCCGGAAATTTGTTACAACTACGGACCTGTTGGTGCTGTGATTCTCGTTTGAAGCAATCAAATCAAATGCCATCATAAAATATTTATAAGCTTCTGCCACCCTTCAATGGCGGTGGGAAGACCGTTGAAAACATGATTCCATCAGACGAAGTTAATTTTCCCCTGGGGAACACATTTAAGCTTAGCAAACAATTTTGCTCGGTTGAATTTTGAATGGGCTTTTGATAGGTGGTGCTTACCTTTTCGGCCGTCGGTGGTGCTGACAGTGTCCACGTTCCCAAGTAGATGAACATTACCAGCAGTATCGGCACCATCCACTGCAGAAGCTGTTTGTCGGTAAGTTTGACCTTGTGTGCCGATTTGACTCGGTAGGTCAGCGAAACGCGCCACGTTTTCATCAGCAGGGCCGTGTAGGTGACGCAGAAACCCATGTGGCGGGTCCACTTGGTGGCTATGCAGGAGTAGGTGTCCAGGATCGGGAAGATGGCGGCCATCTCCAGATACATGAAGGCACAACCCAGCAGGGTAATGGTGAGAAAGATCGGGCTGGCCACCTTGAAGACCTTTATCTTGCGGTGCTGGTACATGTACAGTGCAAGAACAATGGTGAATCCGGCGCACATTACCGAAAATGTGAGAAGAGTTGTTCTTTAAGGGAGGTATAGGAGAATGGACAGAGTCATTAATGTTCATGATTTTGTATAAATGGTTAGAAAGACTTACCGAAACACCCAGTTGTAGCTGGCCAGGCACGGTTCCGGCCCGGTACAGGTCGCACAGCCAGGAGCACACCGTATACACACAAACACATCCATGTAATAGGTGCTAATGTTATCCCTGTACTCCTGGTAGGCGACTTCCATGATGCTTCCGTTGAACCCCCGAGGATGCGGTCCCGAGTAGAATCCATCTCTACATTTGCACTCGTACGCACCTCGGGTCCATCCGTTGATAACCCTTAGGTTCTTGCTGATGATTGCCAAACTCCCACTACTGCTAGCATTGGTGAAACTACTTGTATTACTGTAGTGATTGTAGTTCAAATTGACTGCCGTTGCCACGTTCGTCGCCACCGGTCGGTAAACGCAACGCATGCTGTGAACGTGACATTTGTGTGACCCGTGGAATGCTTCGATCTGGCTGTATTGCTCCTCTTCGGAGAGCTTGATGTTCCGCACGAAGGGGTAGTATTGTCTCAGGTGGTGATGGTAGCTTATGACATCCAGTTTGTTTGGATTGTCGCACTGGTTGACCTGCAGATCCGAGATGTCGATGTCGATGCTTAGGAAACCACGCAGTCTGTGGAAAACATTTTCAATCAAGGCAAATTGGTTTGAAGAATATTTGGGACATTTATTACCCATGCCGTCCCATAGGAGGTATGGCAACACTGTAGGACAAGATCCACCGTTTATGGTTACAGGAATAGTACGGATACGTCCACCAGCCTTTGAAGGATATGTTTAGCGGGGAGGGAGCGAACTTGGGTGATCGTAGTCCCGGTGAGGATGATTCGTCTTCGAACCTATGCAAAAACAGTTGAATGTGTATTTGTTAATTTTCTTTTAAGACAATTCTGGAACTTACCATGGATAGCCGGGGTCGGGAGTCTTCCCAACGGCAACTCCAGCCTCTTCTATCCGAACTGGTCCGGCCATGCCGGAGGTGGGTTTATTCCACCAAACCGAATTGGTGACCATTCCGTCGGAGATGTTTATCGACAGAATGCGTGCACTCGTAACGTGTACGTCCGAGAGTAATCCCTTCGCAAGGGCATCCAGCAGACCTGTTGATGTTATGAATTCGTGGTTAATCGATATGCTCATGATTGAATGTTATGATGTTAACTTAGATTATATCCCTGGAACCTTCAAGCAATCGTTCGATTAACCCGATCAAAATCCCTAAATTGCGAAGCGACACTTCGCCATGGCAATATTGCTCCATCATCTCTCTGATAATCATATTTGGCTAATCCCCTCTAGAGCACATATTTAGGGGTGATTTGAGCCTCTCGACTTTGCTGTCAGACTCCATCCATAAATTGACACGACGTATAAATGGCACGTATCAGTCGGCTTATGGCAGATGTGCGTATACGAGCAAATCGATATTCTCTCACAATTAATTTACTTGCGACATTCTTCGACTCGTACGACGGCAAATGCTGGTGATGATGCTGCTGCTGATGATGATGATGATGAATATGAGGTCGACGGTATTTGAGCACGGTACGAGGGTGTAAGCCCATGGCTTAGGATTGGCCATTCCCAACCCCTTTGTCACATTGATGAGAGATTTTCCTTATCATTGTAGTGAAATACTCTCAATGTTTTAATGAATTCTCGCATGAGTGGTTCTGAACTGTACGCATTGATACGGCATTTGCACTGATTGTGTGTTAATTATTTGCTTGCTGAAAACTTTCACATACTAATAAACACCTCACAATTAACGGTTGGGATGATGAAATATGATCAAATTGATTGATAGCTTCTGTTAATGATGCACAGATTGTTTAATTGCCTTCCCGGCATTTTGGGTTATTTTCGACACAGCGTTCGATTAGAGGAGCTATTTTCAAACAATTAATATGACAACCACGACAGAAGACGTTTTTGTAACCGTGTTAATAAAAAAAAAGATAAAAATTAAAGCTTCGTCATTTGTGCACCAATTTTAGATCTTGACGTGGTTTTGAGGTTATTCTTAGTTGAAAAAGTGTATATTTTATCCGGAGGTTAAGAATAATAGCCAATCAAATCTAATAACTTTTGAATAAAATTACAAGATAACCTATCTTAAAAGCATATGTTTACAGATCTGCCCTGAAGTTATGAGTACTTATAAAAAAAACCCTAAGGTTCACAATACTTCCCTGAAGTTCATAATCAAAGTTCCCTGTTCGACAAAAAGTGTAGAGATCTTCCAACAAGAAGTTCAGAGAACTTCTGATGAGAAGTACAGAGATCTTCCGACGAGAAACTCAGAGAACTTCCGACGAAAAGCTCAAAGAACTTCCAACGAGAAGTTCAGAGGTTTTACGAAGATCAGTTCCGAGAAGTTCACAGTTCTCTGAACTTCCGACGGGCCTCACTTAGCTCAGTTGGTAAAGGCACAGCTACAAAGCAAGAACATGCTGGAGGTGGCTGGGTTGGATTCAGGGTCTGGTCTAGTAACTGTTCGGGTTGAAAAATTTCTCGACTTCCATGGGCATATAGTATGATTGTATTTGCCACACAATTATACTAGTGCATACATGGTACAGGCATCGAAAGTTCTCAATTAATAACTGTGGAAGTGCATCTAGGAAACTAAGTTGAGAGCTGACAATAAGCTAATATGCGATAAGCAATAAGCTTGAAATGCGAAGAAAAAGCTCCGACGAGAAGTTCAGAGAGCATTTGACGAGAAGTTTAGAGAACTTCCGAAAAGACGCTCAGATGCTCAGAAGATGTTCATAGTACGCCCGACGAAAAGTTCAGAGAACTTCCGAGAAGAAGTTCAGAGAACTTCCGAGAAGAAGTTCAGAGAATTTCCGAAAAGAAGTGCAGAGAACTACCGAGAAGAAGTTCACAAATCTTCCGAGAAGAGAAGTTCACAGAATTTTGGACAAGCAGTTCAGAGAACTTCCGAGGAGGAGTCCAAACTATCAAGGAGAGGTTCAGAGAACTTCCGGCGAGAAGTTCAAATATCTTCCTGCTTTCGGGTGTTATGACGTTCCTTTCGAGTGTTATGACGTCATCACCATCGTCTCCCGCAATGTTTGAATTTTTCCCTCTACATACTTGAGGACTAGATCTCCACACATTGTATAGATTGGGGCCAAGCTGTAACTAATTTTCTGATAGCTACAGTCGGAACTGTAGCAGTTAATCGGATTCCACAAACATAAACAGAAAAATGTCATTTGATGCTGTGTGTGTGAGCAGATTTTGATTTGGATGCGTTCTTTTTGGAAAATCCGTATTAGAGTTTTTTCCTTTATTTGTTTTCCGTACTGAGTACTAATGCTAGGCAGATCCGACACTTGAACCCTACCTATCGACCCATCAACTCATGGACCGGGGACCAACGGCTTTACTTCTCCTCCCCTTCCAAAGAAAGGCATAATCTGAGATTTTATGCTTCAGAAAATCTCGGCGCCGGCCGAATTTGATTGAACCCAGGCCCTTTGGGGTGATAAGCAATCACGCTTACCACAACACCAACGGCACCGCTAACTTTCATTTCTCTTTTGTTGGCGGATATTTTTTCAACCGATTATTTTCTGAATTTGATTAAATCTGATTTAAAATTTAATATTTCTCATGATCTTTTCATAAATGCAATTTTACTCATATAAACGCTTATTAATCTGTATAAGCAACCAAACATTTCCTCATGCATTTTTATGTCTAACTTTGATCAGAAGAGCGCGTGAAGATCGAAATGTCTACGCCCACTTAGTGTTGATTTGCTTTCGGAACTGGTTACTCATGGTGTTGTGTTGCAAACGTAAACTAGCGGTAATCGCTAACGAAAATGTTAGCTCAGCTAATTAGCTGTTAGTGGATGAGAAGAATGGTGCCCAGCTCTGCTATTTGGTAAATTCACAAGTACGCTAGACTAATATGTCAACCATTTGGGATACTTTGGCCATCTGAACAAATTTGCTGATTATTCGAAAAAGAGCATCAATACAGATAGGACCTTTTGAAATTTTTGTCTAGATTTACCGCACAGTATAACATCATATGCGAATGTCACCTTCTACCTAAGCTGTCGAATTTCTCACGCCCAGTCGAATGTCAACGCGTAGCATCATGAAATCAAAAAAATAAAGATTTAGTATGATTTCGATTCAATATTCGGAACTATCCTTGCAGTAGAATAGACAATGAAAAGCAATACTATCCACATCAGTTCTAATTTCAATGTGCCTTCTGATTACACTGTAAATCATAGTAATTTCAGGATAAATGAGATTAATTCCAACAGCTAATTATCACTACGTTTGGAATCGATTTCATACTGCTGCCAATTTCAAAAGAACTTATTTGCACTCAAATGCGTTGTTAACTTCAGCAACTCCTACCTTCCCATGCTCTCTGTCCTGAATTACAAATGGAATGAAACCACACAGGCTGCCATCTACGCTCTCATTTGCATTACACATTCGAGCCACGTTTTGTATGACATCGCATTTGAACGCGACAAAGGAGTTGGAAAAATTCAATTACAGTTCTCATTTCAAATTCCACCTGACAATGGTGGTGTTTGCATTTCCGGTCACCGCTGCTGGTGGAATTGTACGGGCTATCGAATAGTCATCTGAGTCTGACGGTATCATTTAACTTAAACGCGGTTCATTCTCAAACCGAAACAGTGTGGGCGTATTCCGGTAGATCAGAAAAGTTTATCTGCTTCGTCTTATCACCTGTGCAACGACACCACCGGCTGCCATCCGGTCGATGGTTTAATTCGAAAGGAGAATTTCCACTTCGTTGCAGTTGAAATTATCATATGCCCGGCAGTTACTTCCTGGAAATACAGCTGCCAGGAATGGCTAGTCGGTTTCTGCGTAGTTCCTTCCAGGAAAAAAATTCAACCTTCACCACTCCCACGCACGCACAGTAATGAACTTACCGTTGTGACGGGCAACTCCGACATCCTGAAGCACAACGGCTGCCAGGTCCGCTTTCTGTCGTGCACCCGAGTAGCGTTCCGGGTTCAAGGTTATCTGTAGGGGCCGAAATCGCTTGGTGAGGCAGAGCGTGCCCAAATTTTCCGTCGCAATGTCATGGATCGTCTGCAGCGAGTCGTCGATGGCTTCCTGAGGGGGAGAATGTTATGAGAGGAATTAGAATTTCAGTGCATTATAATCGTGATGGAAATACTTGTTTGTGGTAGATGTACAACATATATTTTTTAAATCTTTTTTTGGTATGTTCTTATTATCTTAGATTTAAAAAAAAATACATTATTAGAATATATTGAAAACCATTGTAGCAGTTAACTTTTGGCAAGAATATAAATGATGCCTGAAATATTTGCATCTTGCACTTAAAATGTTTATAATTACCAATAAATCTACTTGGTCAGGACCAATAAACAATTGAAAATGAGCAAAAGGCAAGTGGAAAGTAGTAACAAAAAATCAGTTATAGGAAAATAAAAAAAAATTTGAGCAATAAAAAAGCTTAAATGAACCATAAATAACTGATGAGTTTCCAATTTTAAATCTAGAAGTAGCCATAAAAAACCGAAAATGAGTACTAAAAAAGTGCCTACAAAATATCAACAATCATAAAAATTAAAAAATGAGCATCAATAAATTGAGAGAGATCAATAAAACCTAACAATAAAAAAAACAATGAAAATAAAAAGCAAAATTACCTATTGAGGAATCATTCGAGGATTTATATTGCTCAAACATATGAATTTTATTGCTATTTCTGTTGCAACTTTTTAATTTTATCTACTGCTACCTTTCACATGTTGCACGAAAAAATCCGGACTTGAAAATCCAATGTTACCGACGCCAGGGAGGCAGCTCCTACACCTGGATTATCGACCCATCAACTCATGAACCGGGCACCAACGGCTTTACTTCCCGGTGGTGAAAACTGGGATTGAACCCATGCCTGCTGGGGTGAGACGCAATCACGCTTACCACACCACCGGAACCACTATGACTCGAAAATTTTGTTGGGGTTTAAAAATGCGTTTTATTTTTCATAGTTCAATGTTAAAGCTATACATTAGTAGGTATTATGCTTATTGTAAGATCATTGTTTCAGTCTTCCTTCTTACCATACACTGAACTAATGTCGAAAATCTCATGTAATTGTTATGGCTACAACAATAAAAAAATGCAGTGGGTGATATTTTTTTTTTTCATTTTGGCAAGTAATATTACACCATATTTTCGACACGATTGAAGTGCATCCACTTTGATAGGATATTAAAATTATTTTTTTGCTGTGTAGGCCATTGCTCAAACTTTTCTTCGTGCACGGCCAATCATCTTTTGCACGAGCCCTGGTCCCACTTGTTTGGCTGCCAAATTCCATTTCCGCTTGAAATCTTTCCCAACACCCTTTTTATTCAGTATGTGCTTCACAATTGACCAGTATTCCTCAATTGACCTTAGCTCCGGAGTATTGGCCGAATTCATCTAGTTGGGAACCACTGTGACGCCATTTTCGCTGTACCACTGTTTGGTGAAATTTGAGTAGTGGCAACTTGTCAAGTCCAGCCAGAATAGGCAATCCACCTCATGCTGCTCCAGAAAAGGCAGAAGTCTCTTCCGTAGGCACTTCTCCCCGTAAATTTGCTGGTTCATGGTTCCAGAAGCAGGGTTGCGTCCATTCACTAAATGATTTTCTGAATTTTACTTACTACTTTGTACTAGTTAGATACAAGAAGAGGTTGAAAGGCAAGTGTTTGACACATAAAATCTGTCGGTTTCACTTCCAGAGTGGTACAATCAGCGATTTTATGATTCGTGAGCGCTCGCGAGTTGTAAAATCGCTAATTGTGACTGTCGGAAAGGGAATTTGACAGGTTTTATGTGTCAAACACTTGCCTTTCAATCTCTTCTTGTATGTAACAAGTACAGAATATCATTATAACATCTAATGATTTCAAAAATCAGAAAACCATTTTTTATAATAGCAAGTGCGTGGAAGCAAGCCTAGAAGTAACGAAAGTTTCGCTTTTCATCCCACAACTGCAGACTGCTTGCCAGGCAAGGAACTTTTTGGGGAATTTCGACTTCTTTTTGATTTTACATTCTTCCGGGCACTCTTACGGTCTACCGAGGTGTAACATTTCTGCCCAGGAATTTGATCGAAAACTGCCAGGAGCGTATAGACCGGGATTTTCGTTTTAGATCGTGCAGGGTCGAACCGCGACGTGCTTGCTCCGGTGAAGCCATGATGTAAACTCATGAACTTATCCTGACAACCAATGCCTACTGTGATGCTATACACTCTTAGCTTAATTCAGAGAAGAAAAAAAAATGCTCTAATGGCAGTGTTTTTAATGTTTCCGGATTCTTTCATGTTCAACCTTTAACAAAAATTACATAATAAAGCTATTTAACAAGAGGTTTAAAAAAATGACCAAATATTTAAGTTCTTCGATTTTGGTCAATTTTTAAGTGTCCATGATTTTAGATGCCTCAAAAGTGGATTTTTTTTCTCAAAATGACTATGAAAAAAATTAACCGTTTATATTTTTCCCAGAAAGACTTCGATTAGAAATTATGGTTTTATGCTACAATTTATTGAAAAATGTCAATAATGCCATTTTGGAAAAAGTTACAACACCAATGGTCGAGCTTCTGCAAACATGTGAACAATTGCCTATAACACACAATTATGCAAAAATCGCCTGCAACTGCTCGATATAATATGATTTGTAATATACTTGGGAACAACTACTTTATATATAAAAAAAAAATACAGACTCTTCAAGATGACTTTTATGCGTCCTGGGAGTTCGCATTTATTTTTATCTTCTACCATTTCTTTCACCAAATTTCAATGACTTTATGCCTTTCTTTCAAAGTTTTTAGTTGTTTGAAAAAAGGAAAGATAATTCCTTTCGACAAAAGTTTTGTATTTCAATACGGATCATTTAAGCATAAAAAACATGTGTGAATTAGCTAGAATGTTTGAGAAATTTGACTTGAAAGTTGCAAAATATTCATACAAATTTACATCAATTCCTAAACTGGGAGACAATGCTTGTGATAATCCTTTGACATTTTCTCTGAGTAGAAGAGAGAATGGACCCTATACCACAGTCGAGCAAATCCTGTGTTCCTAGGGGAATGCTATGTTAATTTTTTTTTTATCTTTTTGATGATCCACAATTATACTCTAAATGCAGCAGCATCAGAATCTTTTCGAGTTTGTGATCAATAAACAAAATACACTCAAAAACATTTTATCGAACCATTTTGGAAAAAAATATATATATATATATATATGTTAATGAGAAAGTTTAAATAAATATAATCCCTCGGTTACATATTACTGCCAAAGGCGCATACATAAATCAACATCCAATACGAATTGGCAACTTGAAGTAGGGAACAACTATTTATGCGGTGCGTTTAGTACTGCAGAAAACACAAGGAGAAAATTGCTCGATTTTTTATTTCTAAGATACATAGCAAGTGTCGGTATTTTTTGCATTTAAATGATCTTTATTTCTTGTGATTGTGTGGTTTACATGTATGAATTTGTTAAGTGACACAGATTCGTCTTTTCAACTTTGGTACATTTGAGATTTTAATTATTATTTACAGTTCCTAGTCCTATCAGGCCTATTTTAAAGTATGACCACCTTGGTGGGATTGGTTTGATTTGAATTGGAAAAAGGAGACTACTTATAACTACTATTTACAACTACAACTAACCTACAACTACTATGTACACCTAACCTACTATATACAAATTGCTTATCAAAGCATGTTCTGATAAATTACATTTTTGTGTAAATTTAGTCTTAATTTCGTTAATTTTGGAATCTATTTTGGCAATGCCTGCCTCTTCATGTAAATTTGTTATTCTAGTGTCGAAAGGACGATCAAGAACCATCCTCAGCACTCTATTCTGAGCGACATGAATTTTGTTCCTGTGAGTCTGTGCACATGATTCCCACACCGGAGCTGCGTAGAGGATCGCAGGTGCTACGATTTGTTTGTAGACGGCCAGTTTGTTCACCCTTGAGAGGCGGGATCTGCGGCAAATCAGCGGGTACAGACTCCTAACCAAGGCGGAACACTTGACTACGGTTTTCTCCACATGCGAGCGGAATAGGAGCTTTTCGTCAAACAACATCCCGAGATATGTTACTTCGGCGGACCACTCAACCCTTGTGCCATCCATGATTACAGTACAAGAGGGAGCCGGTTTTAGTTTGGGTGATTGCCGATGGAGGAACATGATTGTTTGTGTTTTGGAAGCATTGATTTTGATTTTCCACGTGGTGGCATAATCAGCAAAGGCGTTAAGGCATCGTTGAAGTTTGTTCGTTATTTCGCGAGGCATCCTTCCTTTGACGGCTATTGCGGTATCATCTGCGAACAGGAAAAACACGCAACCGTCTCCAAGGGGAGGAATGTCGGAAGTGTAAATGCTGTAAAGCAAGGGTCCCAGCAGACTGCCTTGCGGGACTCCTGCTGGGATGGAAAACGTGTCTGAAAGACAACCATTCAACGATACCCTAAACGACCTTTGCTGAAGGTAGTTACGGGTGATTTTAACAAGATGCAAAGGGAAATTGAAGTTAAAAAGCTTGTATACAAGCCCATTGTGCCAGACATTGTCAAACGCTTTCTCAACGTCTAACAATGCCATGGCCGTGGACTTGGATACAGCCTTGTTACTTCGGATGTTATTCATCACCTGTACTAGCTGATGATTTGTGGAGTGCCCCTTCCTGAACCCGAGCTGTTCCGGTAGGAGAATGTTTTGCTCCTCGAAAAACTTGAGCAAACGATTGATAATAAGTTTCTCGAACAATTTGCTCAGCGCTGAAAGGAGGCTGATTGGTCTGTAGCTTGAAGCTAGCGTTGGGTCCTTCCCGGGTTTGCGGATAGGTATAATTTTCGCTGTCTTCCAGATACTTGGAAAGTAGTGCTGTTCCAAGCATCTGTTGAAGACAGCAGCCAGCAGAGAGTGAACCTTCATGCTGAGATTTTTCAACACTAGGTTGAATATTCCGTCAAACCCGGGGCCTTCATGTTTTTGGTGCATTTCAGCGATGAGCAAATCTGTTCCCCTGTGATTCTATCCTCCGGAGGGATGGCACAAGGGG